ATGAAATGACGATGATACTATCCTATTTAAATAAAGAAAAGAAAAGAAAAATAAAGAACAAATTGCAACTATACTTCCAATTTTTTCAAAAAATTTCTAATTATTTATTTGAAATTTATTTATAATATTTTAAAAAATTTGGAAATGTAGTTACAATTTGTTATTTATTTATTTTTTTGTTTTATTTAAGTAGAAGAGAATACTCATCACTTCATAGCTTTTAATTGAGAGAATGGAAGAAACATGATGATTTTCATAATGTAATGTAAAAATAATGGTGAAAATGATGAAAATGAAAAGTATGAACGTTTTGTACTAATTACCCCTTTAATAATGTATTCGGACTCATTTGTAATTTTTCAAAATGTTTGGAAGTATAATTGCAATTTGTTCTTTAATTTTTCTTTTATTTAAATAAGATGATATATTTGTCATTTTACATTTTTTTATTGAGAAATTAGATGAAAATAACATTTTCTATTTGAGCAGTGAAAATAGGGATGAAAATATCAAAAAATGAAAAGTATAAACGTTTTTTTACTAATTATCCTTCATGTGATTCTACAGAAGCAAAGTATTAAAACAAGGTTCCTTGTATGCTCTTTTATTTTTAAATTCTAACAGATGAAAAATTATTAAGTTCGAGTTTGAGTCACATTACTTTTAAAGAATATGTTTTGAAATAATAGATTGATAGATAATGTATAATTAATAAATAAGTAATTTTTTAAAGTTACGTGTAATATTATTTTATTGAAAAATGTGTAATTGAAATAATGTCAAAATACTGTTTAAAAATATATATTTTTCAAATAATATGATTCAAACAGGGCTAAAATAAAATTCCAAAAAATAATTCCAGTGGGGGCGGGCAGCGGTATGCACAGGATCAAGCTGCAGCGGCTTACTGCGGCTTACTGCGGCTTAAAATAAAACCTCCCATTTTCGTTTTCCGAGTAGTCCGCACCCCCAACCCCGGTTACTTCTCTTTCTAATATCTTCTCTCTCTATATCTGTATTGACAGTCTTTTCATCTTCTTTAGAGAGATATATAGATATAGAGATAGAGCTTTCTGTTCTTATATCATTTTTCCTTAAAAATTATTTTGAATACCCCAATAGAAAGTTGCTCCTCATTGATCTGAAGTTAAAAAAACCCTTGTTCCACGTGTCCCATTTTCAAGACTATATTTGGTGAAATTTAAGTTTTGGGAATTTCAGCTTCAGCTTGAGCAGGCTGTAGCTTCCTTTTTTTTTTTTTTGAAGAAGAAGAATTGGAAAAATGCATAGTTATAAAAAGTAGTTGCAGTAACATTTATGGTTGCAAGAAAAAGGTGAGAGTCTGCAGTAACACTGCAGAAAACGCATAAATTTTGTCGCTTTTGGGTGAAAATCAGGGGTTTCGCGTGTCAAAAAGTAACAGATTTCACCTTTAGTGTGAACAATAAAGCAGTATTAAAAAGGGTTACTGAACGGTGATTTATTGTGTGAAGACGGAAGGGGAAAATTTGATTTTTTTGTCAGTATGCATATGATTTACATTACAAGGCTGTTTAGCTTTTGTTGAGCTATATTTGCTGTCACCGTATTATAAGTTAAGTGGTAGAATTGTGTTCTCAGCCCAAGAATATTCTGCCTCAATCAAGATCGTCAATTTTATCCTTTCGAAGCATAAAAAATTGTAAATCAAGCAAAAAAATCTCAGCTACAAAGAACCTTAGTCAGTTATCTGTGGGAATATAAAAAGCTGCTCAGAGTATTCAGGATTTTTTATTATTTGTAAGGTATTCTTGTTCTGGATTGGAGGTTTTGGGGGAATGGCTATGGTGGCACAGCAACACAGAGAGAGTAGCAGTGGGAGCATGAACAAGCATCTTGATTGTGGGAAGTATGTCCGGTACACGGCAGAGCAGGTGGAGGCCTTGGAAAGGGTCTATGCCGAGTGCCCAAAGCCGAGCTCTTTCCGTCGGCAACAGCTGATCCGAGAATGCCCCATTCTTTCCAACATTGAGCCCAAACAAATTAAAGTCTGGTTTCAAAATCGAAGGTAAAGGCAAAACTTTTTAATGGGTGGGAGTGTTTTTTAGCAACCTTTCTTGGGCTACGTTAATGTTATTGTCTTCAACTGTTTCAATGTACATGACATTTTTCTCATTTATAGCTTGGGTAAACATTTTCATACTTGTTAGTCTCAAATTTAATGAGCATTGTTACAAGTGAAGATCTTGATTTTGAGATTACTGATTATCAGGACCTTGAAACCTAGATTGAAGTCTAAGTTTTATTGAGTTGTGTATTTGAGGAATTATTTGGCTTCTGATGGAGGCTAGAAAAATGATGTGTTTTCGATTAATGTAGGTGTCGGGAGAAGCAGAGAAAAGAATCTACTGGACTTCAGAGTGTGAATAGAAAATTGACTGCCATGAACAAGCTGTTGATGGAGGAAAATGATCGCCTGCAGAAGCAGGTGTCACAACTGATTAGTGAGAATGGGTACATGCACCAACAATTGCAAACTGTATGCAACTTTCTTTTACCCATAATTGGTATCAGTCTATTTGTTCTGTTTCACCTTGTTTGATCTATTGTGATCTACCTGTATATGATGTTCACTTGTGTTGAAAAGTAGTAGAGGATTGATTGGATGCAATCTGTGAATTGTTATGCCATTAATCCAATAACATGATGCAGGTTCAGTCATGTTACTGTGTGTTGATACCCTTACCATCGTTATTGTTGTAGTTTTTGTTATTTTCGTTAGTCATATATGATGTGGAATGAGTCCTAAGCCCACTATAATTTGACTTCGCTCATTTAGGACTGCAGATTTTTGGTACATTTGTTTTCTTCCTTCTTGAGTTTACTTTCAAATTCGTATTCTGACATGAAAAGTTCTACAGACATCAGTGGGAACTACTGATCCAAGTTGCGAGTCGGCTGTCACTGCTCCCCAGCATTCTCTCAGAGATGCTAACAACCCTGCTGGGTAATTTAATAGAATCCCATTCTTCAATATCTACATCCTTGTCTTATGAACGCATATTTGTAGGCGCTATTTCTGATTCTCCTGATGTTTAATATATGGTTTAATCAGACTCCTCTCAATTGCGGAAGAGACCTTGGCAGAGTTCCTTTCGAAGGCTACTGGAACTGCTGTCAATTGGGTCCAAATGCCTGGAATGAAGGTATGGCCATTCTTTCAGCTATTCATACAATCCTTTCTCCAGTTTTGTAGTAAATGTTAACATCATTGCAACTTTTAAACTGAAAGGTCACGTGTTTGATTTCTTTTACAGCCTGGTCCAGATTCGGTAGGGATCTTTGCCATTTCACATAGATGCCTTGGAGTGGCAGCTCGAGCATGTGGTCTTGTAAGTTTAGAACCACCAAAGGTAAGCATAGCAATTAGTTTGACATTGACTTTGCAGACTCCTTTAAGCACCGAATTCTGATGTGGCTAACATTAGCCGTCTGTCTGAACTCGTTTTGAAATTTACAGATTGCTGAGATCCTTAAAGATCGTAATACTTGGTTCCGGGACTGTCGAAATCTTGAAATTTTCACTATGTTTCAGGCTGGAAACGGAGGAACAATTGAACTTCTCTATACCCAGGTGAGTGGTGTGAATATCATACTCTTATAATGCTTCACGCAGCGTATAATAATCTACATACATTGCTTTCAGACATATGCGCCAACTATACTGGCTCCTGCTCGTGATTTTTGGACTCTGAGATACACAACCACCTTAGAGAATGGCAGTCTTGTGGTATGCAAATATATCAACGTTCATCCAATACATACATTATAAAAATCCTGCTTCTATTTCAATCGTGCTTGTCAATTACAAATTTTAGATTTTGGCACGTGAGCATGATGCATAAATTGTTTGAGATCTCTCCCCAAGAGATGATGCATAAATTGTTTGAGATCTCTCATGGATTTAGTTCTTGACCTTTGTAATAAAGAAATAGTTTCCTCTGTCTAACTGTGCTTGCAACATGTTCATCTATATGTTCTCATTTTACTCTTGCTTGCTATGGAAAGCCTCTCATTATAGGTCCAATGTTTCAGACTTGTGTGGATCCATGACTCCTCTACAAAAACAAAATGGATGATGAACAAAAACAAATATATTGATGTGAAAGTATCTTTGGTTTTCCTCTCAATGAGAAATATTTTTTGCTTTTGTTCAGTGTCTTTTTGTTTTGCTATTGAAACATCTCAATTCTATCAAAACGGTTGATTTAGTTTGAGTTTTTAAAACTTTTGAAGCGTGATGTAACTATCAAGGTGGAGATAAAATGTGTGTTTATGATCTTTCTTCCTTTAAGGTGTGTGAGAGATCTCTTTCTGGTACTGGGGCTGGCCCAAATCCAGCTGCAGCTTCACAGTTTGTAAGAGCTGATATTCTTCCATCTGGATATTTGATCCGGCCATGTGATGGTGGAGGATCAATCATTCACATTGTAGATCACCTTAATCTTGGGGTTAGATCCATTTTAAAAGATCTTTTGTAATATTTTTCCAATGTCCAGAACTTGGTTCACATCTTGAGTAACATTTTCCAGGCTTGGAGCGTGCCAGAGGTGCTACGACCGCTTTACGAATCTTCAAAAGTAGTGGCCCAGAAAATGACAATTGCAGTGAGTACAGTACTTTCAATGCTTTCAAAAGATTTTATTTGGTATAATAATAGAAACAATAGTTTGGCGTTGAAATTTCTGAAGGATTAAGCATAAAGCATATATTTTTAAGTAAATTCATTTTAATTCAATGGAAATTTGACCAATTGAGTATGGTGGAAACCTGATTTTCATCCCCTTCAAAATGCTTTAAAATAGGCATTGCGATATATTAGGCAGATAGCCCAAGAGACAAGTGGCGAGGTGGTATATGGTCTTGGCAGGCAACCAGCTGTTCTGCGTACTTTCAGCCAGAGACTAATCAGGTAGCTGCCTATATATTTTGGTTATGCACTAATCAGGTAGCTGCCTATATATTTTGGTTATGCATTGAGATATGGTGATTTAATTTTGCCTATATTTTGCATGTGGCTATGATAGCATTGTTGATGATCTAATATGTTCTCTTATGCAGAGGCTTTAATGATGCTATTAACGGATTCAGTGATGATAGCTGGTCGATATTGAACTTTGACGGTGCAGAGGATGTTGTAGTTGCTGTTAATTCATCCAAGAACCTGAGCACTGGTACAAATGCAGTTTCCTTCCTTGGAGGCATTCTCTGTGTGAAGGCGTCTATGCTACTCCAGGTGATTCTTGATTATGTTTCCTAATTTAATATTGAGCCTTTTGGCTTAATATTCCGTTCTCTTGTCCAAAAGCTTTATGAACATATAGCCCTTGTTTGAGCCCCATTTTTGCCAAGAAAATGCATTTTTGAATAGTGTAATGATGTAAAATGTGTGGTTAAAAAATAAGGAAAAGTTTTAGGTTTTCGTGTAATATTATTTTATTGAAGAATGTGTGGTTGAAATGATGTCAAAACACTGTTTAAAAATGTATTTTTTCAAAAAAATGGAGCTCAAACAAGGGCATAATGTGTTTTCTTGTTTCTGTTTAGCATGTAATTTAACCATCCAGTTCCAAGTGTAAAAATTGAATGCCTAGCATCTGGCAGGGGCTCATGCCAATCATTTGTTGAACGATTTGTCACCTTGAGTCTGTTTGATTAAGCTTAAAAAGTTCACTTATAAGTTAATCTGTAAGTTTCAAAATAAATGATTTTTCTCACGGGTCAAAGTTGGAAATGATTACTTAACTTATTTTTATAGCAAGGCAAAAACTATTTTCAATACAAGTGACCTTTTTTATTTGGAAGTAACAGAAAATTAACATATCCAAACTTGTTTCTGAACAACAACATTTTTTACTTTCTTTTAATCTTAGCCTAATATGTTCAAATTTTTCTATTGAACTGAGTATTTCAGCCTGCTTTGCATAACTTTTTGGACCCTTGGGAAATAAAATATACTTTGAAAGTCTGAATGCCAAACAGGCCCTTAGGCTGTTTGTATAATTATACTGAAGTGGTTCTAATTTACAATTTACTTGAACAGTGCTCAATCAAAATCCAATATCCTTCAGTATGTTGTAGATCCATACCATTAGCAATGTTTTGTCTAGTGCTTAATGGACTAAACTATTTCATTTCTGCCAGAATGTCCCTCCAGCAGTGTTGATTCGATTTCTGAGGGAGCATCGATCAGAATGGGCAGACTTCAATGTTGATGCCTATTCTGCTGCGGCCTTGAAAGCAAGCTCATATTCATATCCAGGAATGAGGCCTACAAGATTCACTGGAAGTCAAATCATCATGCCACTGGGACACACAATTGAACA